AGTAAAGAGGTCAAGTTGATACTTCAACTTTTACCAGAATGTTTTTAAACTGCAGTATCTATGCTTCTACTTAAGTAACGGAATACTTTTGACACCACTGCTAATTTGTTCTCCTCCCCTTCCGTGTTGGTATAGGTGCGTAGCCAAGGAGTAACGGAGGAGCTGAAGTGCATCGGTTTACTGAATGCCCTGCACAAGGACCAGGACATCCCAGATCAGCTGGCCCAGCTCTTGGGAGAGCCCTGCATCAAACTGGCCGAAGGCATCAAGGCTTATATCTCAAAGGTAAGAAACCAATACGATTCTCTATGCAGCACATGCAGAAAAATGATTTTCAGCAAATGGTGTGTCAAGGCTTAGATTCAGAAGAGAAATATTAAAGTTATTTTTAATAAAATTTTTGGACTTTCTATTGCTATTTTAAATTTGTGTCGCCATCATAAAACATATTTGTATCATTCTGCAAAATATGAACAAATAAAATTTCAGACACATTTAGGGCTGAAACAATTAATCGGATTAATCCTGATTAATCAATTATTGAAATAATCTATATTTCAGTAATTGAGTAATCGTTAACTGGAGTGTTGAGACTCTAAAACATGCCTTTAGCTGAGAGAACGACCCAATTAGAGGAGTAATTATACCAAGATTGTAAAAAAAGAACTCCTCAAGTGGAAAAGTTTGAGTTTCACCTGGTTTATTTAGTAAAAAAGTATTTTTTAAGGAATCTTTGGCTATCCAATTCTTAATCGATTAATGGAAAAAATAATCGACCTATATTATTAGCAAAATAATCGTTAGTTGCAGCCCTAGAGACAATATTACACACATTATATGAGCAAAAGCAGAATCCAAGGGTTTTAAACTGAGGTTAACTGATCATAAGTAAACATGCAGCCATGACTGACGTTTACCCCAATCTGCTGCTAGCCTCACATTCACCAGCAGTAAAAATAAAGCAGAAAGGAGGCGGGAGCTCTGCTGCAAGTTACATAATGTCTATTTTAAAGGACCAGAGATTTGTTAGTGAATTTTATTCAAAGTTGTCTTCACCTCAAATTTAAAAGTGAGTGTATTTTTAAAAAAAAGCTTTGTTTTATACTTACTTCGTAACTGAATCCAGCCTTTAAAACTACATTAAAACATCTTTCATTTCCACATTTTCACAGAGATACAGTGTCTCCCCTAAAGCCAGGTTGACATCAGAATTGTATTTTTATGAGCGAATCCAATCTCTGGCTGTGATATGAAGTCGTCATCAGAGTGCGTTCGGCCATATCTGCGGCTTGAGAGCAGATGGAGGCTGGTTTTGGTTGCGGTTCGCTTGGTTCCAGCAAGCACAGAAAAACATCTGCAGGGACCAATACAGACCTCCGAGTGGGATTAATTGTGCCCATTTGTCATTGTAATGGTGAAATGCTCAGCTATGAAGGAGCGCTGCTGATAAAATAAATACATATGGACAGAACAATGGGGTGGATGCAAACAAACCCAGATGAGCGTCTAGGAGGATGTAGTCACTCAGCAACCTCTGGCATAATTACAGCATAAGTCAAAGGAATGAAACATGCAAAATTTGGCTGGAACTGTTTGAATGACAGGTTACTGTGAAGTTTTCCCAGAAAATATCACTGTTGCTGGCTCATGATGATGGAAGTTTGGGGCAGCATTGACCAGTTCATGCTATATGTCAGCTCAAGCAGTTTGCTGTTACTTAAAGCTGCAGATTTGCTGCTTTTGAATCAAAAATGCAATCATTCTGTCATTTCCTGAGCCTTTTTATCTCTTACCATACAAGATATCATGACAGAAAGTCGTTTTTGGATTTGGAGTAAAAGGGCACCCTATTTAGTATTAGCAACAGGGAAGCTTGTTGTTATGCACAGTGGATGACTTGTTTATTGTATTTCCTATTTACATATTTATTTAATGTTTATACAATGGAAACCAAGTCCAGTTTCTTATTTGTGTGATTAACTTGACTATTAAGGGTGATTCTGATTCTTGTAAGTCTTATAATTCGTCCCATATTGTATTATTCGAATATCTATCCCTGTGGCTTTGCTTGATATAGCATGTATATTATACTACAGAGTATAAAATAGTGCTTAAGAAGAAATGTGATAATAAATGCAGTTTTAAAAATATTTTTTTATAATTAGATGTTTGAAAAATGTGTTGAGGCTTCCTATTCATCCCACCTGAACATTTGGCACAGGCTCTGTTGTAGTAACAGCTTAAAGTCTTTACTGGTCTTGTTGTACTCGCGTTGCACATCTATACCCTAAAACCCAAGCTCAGTCAAGGGGTGGAGACCCTGAGCTCACACACCTTCTCAAAGGTCTTTGCTGGATTCATGTCTGGATTTTGACAAGACCATTCTTACACATGAATAAGCCTGTAGATCTAATCCATTCCAGATGAGTTCTAACCACACGCTTAAGGCTGTTGTCTTGTATCAGCTCAGACACTTTCCTATCTCAAATTAGTAAAATTATTCAAACAAACTTGGGCTGCTCCTGCCTTGTTTTCTCATAGGTGTAGTATGTTCAGTATGATGTGCAGTCCTTGCTTTCCCCCACACATGGCCTTTTGGACAAAAATGCAAACGTTATATTTTAATGTCTACAGATTAGAGCCCCTTAATCCATATTTTTGCTTCGTCTGTCAAATGCAGACTGCACACAGGATTCTTTAAGACATTATTAGCTCTGGATCTCTGCAGCTTCTCGAGGGTTTGTTTGCCTGTTTGGTTGGTTGGTTATTAGGATCCCCATTAGCCATTGCATTCACCATGGCTTTCCGTTCCTGGGGTCCAGAGTCCCAGTCAGCCTTTTGGTTAACTCCTGGTTCGTACTTTAGCAAACAGAGATTGTCAATAAAGATCTGCATTTAAACTGAGATTTAAAAAAAAACATACAGTTGGATTTTGGTTTCCAAATAGATTTTTTTATTTCTTTTTAATCCTGTCAGCTGTTGGTAAGGCCATTAGAATAAAGTGGACTTAATACTTAGGATCAGAACATATTATTTATTTATTTTTATTAAAAAGAAGGGCAACACAATTTTAGAAAATCTAGCGATTATAAGTTGGGATATGGGCCTGTTTTTCACTTTACTTTTATTATTACTGGTACCCCCATCATTCTATTACTTTCAGCATTTTAGAGAAAGCCATTGGCATCCAATGTGAGCATCTGTTACCCTGAGACTTCATCTGGATGGACCAATTGACCAATGGATGGACCAATGGATGGATGGATGGACCAATGGATTGACGGATGCACCAATGGATGGATGGATGGATGCATGGACCAATGGATGGACCAATGGATGGATGGATGGATGCATGGACCAATGGATGCACCAATGGAGGGATGGATGGATGCATGGACCAATGGATGGA